ATAGTAAATAAAAAAATGCTTCTAATAAAACTTTTTAATATCTTAACCAATTCATATAAAATTTATATAATATGTAAATTAAACAGTTTATTTATGATATTGAAGTTACGCAATATGCATTGCTTTTAAAAAAAAGCCAACTTCATATATAATTAAATTTTTTTAGTTCGCTATATATTTTTTTAGGTAGTACAAAAAATTGCTATTCTGATTGGTCAAATCATATAATGTTTATATATAAATCATATAATATCATATAAAATTTGTTATACAAAGTTAATCTACAATCTATTTTATATGAAATTAGAAATTTGTACACCCTACTGTCATAGTGAAGAGAAGTATGTGACGTATCTAATAAGGGGCATCGATCTAGAGCTTTAAAGTAATAAATAATGAATTGTGTTGGTAGAAAAAAAAAAAAAAATACATAATATTGTTACTTATCTTTGGCTTGGAGGTTCAAATTGATCGATCATTACGTAGTCACGTGTCCACGTGACAATCGACCAGAATCGGGATCAGGTAATCGAATATTGAAGAGAACAGGGCACAAATTAATAAACAGTGCATAAATAATGTCATAATAGAGTTAATAAAGAAATGACGTGATTAGTAATAAATAATAGAAAAGTCAAAATGGCATAATCCAGTCATTAAAAAATTAAAATGGTGTAATCAATGCATGATAATCAAAAAAGTTATATTTAAGTAAAAGGACGAAAATAAAGAAATAATAAGTGCTTTACTCTAATAAAATATAAATTAACTGTCCTGATAAAATAAAGTAAAGATACCTTGAGTGGGTGCCAGATTGGTCGTAGAAGTTGTAGAAAGGAGTGTCTATCGTTGAGAGCTAGGTTGTTTAGTAAGCTGCTTCATTAATTAAGCTATGACACGAGAACCTGAGCAGATCAAGCATTCACCATGCAAAAATATATATAACAACTGTATAGAAAGAATAATAGTGACGACCAATAATTGTGCAAATTAAAAGAGCAGAAAATGAATTCGTTCTGTGCTAAATTATGAAAAAAAATAAAAAAAATAAAAAAAAATAAAATTAGTACTTATTAAACACCACAACAAACTATAAGAGTATCAAAGCGTTGTACATACCTTATTATTTGGTATGCTGATCCAGTTCATAGTGACTATGATGTTGAAGGATTTGACAAAGCCATTCTTCTAAGAAGAAAATAAAGATGATATCAACAGATTCCTTTTCGACTACAAAAAGTATGCGAAATCGAAAAGTTGGGATGAAGAGACTCAGTGTGGAATGGTGGTCATGCATATGCCTGAAAAAATGAAGCTGTGGGTACATGACTTAATAAGGATAAAGGCCAAATGGGATGATGTAAAAGACGCTATTGTTAAGATAGTAAATGCTAAAAATAATGACAAAACAAAAATTAGCCAGTTAAGAAATATTAAACAAGGCGAAAAAGAAATCTTGAGAAGATACGCAAGCAGATTTGAAGACCTTGCTGAGGCCCTGAAGGGTAAAATAAGACAATATGAACAACAAAATTGGTTTTTAGATGGATTACAGGAACCATATCATATAAAAGAGTATGGCAGACAAACTCCCAATTTGGTAATGATCAATGGTGGTTTAGTCACTTAATAAAAAATTTTTTTTTTATTTTTTATACGCTTTAAAGTACTTTTTATTCCCATGATTTTTCAAAAGTTACCAATTGAATTTGACAAGTGAAACAGAGAAACCGAAAACCCTTCAAGTTATCCATACTATATTAAATTTAATCAAAAATAATCACAATATTTAAGATTTTTTATTAGAGACAAAGTTTATAAGAAATGGACGGTAGATCGACTCAAGTTTCTAAAGATTCAAGCAGACAGTGCATTGTAAAGGTCTGCAAAGGTGTTTCCGCGACAACATGGAGAAAAATAACTAATAATGTGTTGAGTAAAGCAGAAATTAATGAAACTTTGGCTTTGTATTATAGAAACCATAAGGATGAGTATATGTGTTCTAGTTGTTATAATGGGATTGTAGTCAATGAAACAAATATTTTTAAAGAACATGCTATAGATTGGGAGAGAGAGCTAAAAAGACATAGAAAGAATGATAACTTGTCTATGTATGAAAGTATTTCGTTATTAACTAACATTATCTTTGAAAGAGAATTATAGGAAACGATCCACCCATAGTTTCATTTTTCATGCTTAGATCTATTGCTGAAGGCAAGAACGGTCAATTAAGTTTTTTCTTTGATGAAATCGAAGCGAAGACTTGTTTAAGAAGAAAAAATGATGCTGAGCGAAAAGCACTTGATCGATCTTTAGCATATCAATGTTATTTGATGTGCTGGAACCAAAGCATGGTTATACCGTTTTGGAATTTAAAAGACGAAGCATCAGAAAATGAGAGTAATTTTACATGGGTCAGTAGTGTTAATGTCCTAACAAAGCTTCTATACAATCAGGAAAAGAATAAAGAAGGACCAGCAATTTACAGCTTCAAACAGCTGCGCAGAGAAATGGTATCTAAGGATTTTAGGCTAAGTAGTTTCCTTGATTCAATTTATAATGCATCTCTTCCTGAAGATCGAAGCGATAAGTATTTAGATAAGCTAGATAAAAAATTAGCCGTAGAATGTTATATTATTTGCGGAAATCAAAATTCTAAACTAACGGCTTTTAAAAAAGACTTAACACTTTTTGTAGATCTAATGGAAGTTTCAAATGAAGCCATAGATGCCTTATCATATGCTGGTATAACAATTTCACGAAGGCATCTAGATAGGATAAAAACGGCTATAGCTGATAATCATCCATTTAGGGTTACTTCATATTTAGAAGTTAAAAAAATAATGCATTAATCCTCAATATCAATGATTATCATAATATCCATACTCTACGGACTCCAGACACATGTTCAACATCAAATGTAGCACATATGATGACCTTGTTGCTGAATAGTGTTGATTCAATAGCCATTTCACGAATTGCACCAAACGGTACATCAATTCACAATCCAAATTTAATCGATTCCAACCTTATTTGTCATTTTTTGGATAACTACTATATGGGACAGATGGCTAAGACGTTTAATGACCAATTTTACTACGAAATACCTTTGGATGAAAAACTTGAAAATATAACTCTTCACAAATATGATGATCATATAAGAGAACGGCAGGAAGAACGCAAGATAAAAGACACGATTCTTTTAGACTTCTTTGAATTAAGTCTAAAAGACATGGATTCGTATATTGATGCTTTGCAACAAGTTTGTAATGTGCCTTTATTAACTAATTATTTAAAAGATTATGTTCTTTCAATTGTAGCAGATTGGCCAGGTCAAGCGTTTACACGTCAAGCTATCACTCTTCGTTTATTAAACCATAAAGATAATATACCAAATGATATATTATCCTTTATTCCAATAATTGGCATCCTTCATATTCAGTTAAATCTACTCGAATCTATACTAAAGACCTATTGGAATTTTTTTAATATGGAATATCTATATATCTTTAGTACAAGTAGAGCACTTAGCAAAACACCAAGTCCGTATCGAATATTTGTGCTTTTAGAACTGGCAAGAAGCGCTTGGAAAGAAATCAAATCTATAGTAATAGGTAAGTTTGATAAGCATTGCAAGGATATTGAATTCTTATTTTTGCTTGAACTATTAGACAATACGGTACTAGTGGGATTAGATATCTATTCGATATTATTTCGATCTGGAGATTGGGAATCGTATATCGAAGGCATATTTCGTGCATGGTCTATCTTTTTGCGGTTTGAAAGGCATAATTATAATAAAGCGCCTTTAGCATTTCTTTCTGATATATTTTATTGGAATCAAAACAATCATCCTATATTAAATGTATTAAAAGAACATTTAGTTAAATTTACAGATTATCCAGTTGAAAATATGCATAGTATAATACGGCGACAGACCTCATCCATTGATACTCTGCAACATCTTTCTAAAATAGCTAAAGTCGTTGATGCTAGAGAAGCGATTAATTCGTTTGAAGATGTGTTTGTTATTCAGAGAAAGTCTACATATGCGGATAAGGATCATTTGGCTTTATTAATGAAAAAAGCGCAGGTGTTTCTTCTCGAAATCTTTGGTAACGTATATCGAAAGTTAGGTCAAAGCTCCATTGTCAAGAATTCGGAAGAAAAAATGACCTTCAAACTAGTTTCGTTGAATATCACCGTCGATAAAAAGCAAATGCCATTAGGGTTTAGTAGTGAGCATTTGCCATCATACGATAAATGTGATCATTGTTATGAACTATTATACGACGGGACAGGTAAAAACTTCATAGTTATTGCATATGGTCATGGATACCATGAGAGCTGTTTTATTACTTTATTAAATAGAAAATGTTTTTATTGTGAAAATTTTCTCAAACTAGGCATACAAAATAACGTTTCTTCTTTTGTTTCATGATTGAGTAAATTAGATAAATTGAAATCGACTATGAAAGAGATTATTGGGGCTGACGAAGAAAGTCCACAAGACCAGAAGATAATAAATGAGGATGATATATTGGAAGTTTTTTGAAAAGATAAGCAAGCATTGCCAAGAGTAGAACAAGCTTACTCTACAGCCCTTGAAAAATTTTTGAATGCTCATATTACAAACACTTAGTATTGATTTTTTTTTAATATAATTTTATTAATTAAATGTTTTAATAAAAAAAACAATTTTAAGAAACGTAATTATACATGATATTAGCAATGAGCTAATTAATTAAATATTATTTTATTTTTTTTTGTGAATAAAGAATTTCAAAAATTACATAATTACTAGATAATTGTACATAAGTAAAAAAAAAAAAAAATTGTAATCAATTAAATCGTTCATCTCACTAAATAAAAAAATTTTAAATAACTCCAATTCTAACCTCATCAATAAGTAATCGTTTATTTCTCCATGACATGCTTATTTATAAACTACCTAACAATTACATTATCATGTTCTGTAGTTCTAAGTTGAAATTCTTTAATACATTCATTGATATCCTTATTTTCGCTTGTCCTTCCTTGCATTATTTTCTGCAAGTTACACGTTTGACGCCAAGCTTCAGAAGTGTTATATTGGTTGGAATTAGTACATTTTCCATTTAGAACCCAACTTATCAAACACTAACATATATGCATATGTTGCAACGTTTTGAATTAACCCTTATATTTTAAAATTGTTATTCTTTAATTATTAAACTTCTTAAGCATGTAAATATAAAATAGAATAAAGCAGTATTCCGTGCATTAATAATAATTTAAATATTTTAACTTACTTCTTTTAATATAAAAGTATTTAGGATCGAACATTTGAATTAGCGAGAAAATTTAAATTGGGTATTATAACGATAGTCTATGGCAAAAGCGAAGAACTAATAAAAGTATATATACGTCGATATTATAAAAATCTTACATTTTTATTGGCCGATTTGGCTCTGAGTCACGATTTTCAAATCTGAAAGGCTTGTATAATGACGATTGTCCGCCATGCTATATAAAAGTAGAAGCCTATTGCCCAAGCAACTACACCAAGGCCAAAGAATGCATGCTTCAAATTAAAAGTTTCTATAAAGACAGAGAACAGACCAATAATAGGAGGAACTCTTCTGTGATTGAAGAAAGAATTCAACCAAATGACCTGGAAGTAGATAATATGACCGCAGCATTCAAAGCTTTGACTATTAATTGAGTTAAACATGATATGAATGAAGTCAGTAAAATTGATAAAATAGAATCAGACATAAGGGAATTAACAAAGGCTGTTAAAGAACTTACCAGTAGTACTCTGTCACTATGTTTAAATTCAAGAAATCCAAATTTACTATGAAACCCCGGAATGCAGAGATGAAGCTCTGAGCCACGTAGGTGTTTCAACTGCTAACAAGAGGGGCATATTTCATGAAATTGTCCAAATAGAGTTCCCCAGAACTGTGCTGAAATAAGAAATGAACAAGGGGAGATGAGAGGTGAGCAGATAGAAAATAATGATGTAAATATCTGTTATTTTGAAATAGTGGAGACTCCACTGAATGTTGGGACAGAGTGCTTGAAGGTAGAAATAGTAAAAGGAGATTCAATATTCAATATTAGAAGTTGGAATTTACGGAAAAGAAAGCATATCGATGAAGATGAAGAAAGGATAGAGCCTAAAAGCGCAAATAAAGGAAAAGAGATGATGAGTAAAATAAAACCCGTCTGCAAACCACGTGCGTCATGTTCAGTAATGTATGTACCATTAACTGAATTAGTCCCAGAGCTTGATATACTGAAAAAGATTGCTGAGATGGAAATATCCATAATCTTAGAACAATTATTTAGATAGTCTCTAAAGCCAGAGTGGAAATACTAAAAGCTTTAACAAGAAAGAAAAAGGAGAGTGATATTACAGGTTTAGATGCTCATGTTAGTATTGTCTGTGCAGTACAAAACAATAATATAAAACAGAAAGGAGAAGTACCTATAGGTTTAGTTAAAATTAATAGAGAAATGATCACTATGCCAATTGATCCCAGGTCTCAATTAAATCTCATTCATGAAAGATACGCAAGAAAAAGGGATATGAATCTGTTAAGAGAAAAGGAAGGATGGCGGATGATAGTATTAGTAATTTTTTTGGACTCATATCAAATGTGGAAGTCAATGCAGAAGGAGTTGTGGTCGTCCAGAGTTTTTACGTAATGTCTTCTGCTAGCTTTGATATACTACTCGGCATGCCTTGGATAGCTGCGGCACAATGTGATCTTAAGTGGAGAAATAATCAATATTGGTGTTCACTAGCATCTCCTTTCAAGGAAGTGTCATTCATTGCAACCGTCGTACCTGAGGTTTGGATCAACTCAAAGAATGAAACAGATTATGAGACCAAGAATGATAATGAAATAGGGTTGATGTCAGTAAGAAGAATCT